TTACGTTTATTCATACAAATCTTCCATGACCTACTATTGTACTAGGAAAAAATATTTGAGATGAATCCAGAAAATGAGATTCCTGATCTGATGGTCTCTACTTTGTGTAACAAAAAAGATTTAGTTTGTGAATGTGCAAATACGAATCCACAGCTTAGTTATTCTTTGGAACAAAATATTCGTTCCTGTCACTTTATGACTCGGATATTCTATTACGACAAAAGAAGCGAGAGATATTATTCATCTACCCTAAACCATTCTCGACAACTCGAAACTCATACATACATTTATAACGTGAATTTATATAGTTGAAATACTTGCTATCCAAACGGTGGGAGGTGGGAAGATGGGGAAACTGCAAAAGGACATAATATGGGTAAATATACCCACGCATTCCCGAATTTCGGGGTAAAATATGCGCATGCATTGCCCGCACGTGCGAGTCTGTGTACATATCTCCCACGTGAAAGTGTTTATAGTACAAATTCATTGTTTTCGAATATCGCCTTTATACCAATAACAACACTTTGTTTATTCTGGAAAATTAATGACTACCTTAATACTTACTTACTGAAAGAGTTTCTTGCGCTACTTCTTCTCAGTACTGGCCCATTGTCCCAAATCAGTAGTGGTAGGAATTGAAATAATATAACTGAAATTGTCTTGCGCTGCTTTTTCTCAATGCCCTCTTATTTTTTCCCAAAGCAGTGGTAGGATTAAAGAAATACTGGGACGTGTAAAAGCGCTTTATAAAAACCTATTTGCTGTAAATAAATTACTTTTATGACTATTTCAAAAAGTAAACAAAAAGTTTCCCCCCACAAGTTATTAATAGATACCACGTCTTCAAAATTAGTGAGCTACTCAAAGAACGTCTCAGCTTCGGGAAATAGTGAATTAATCAAGCCTCTGAGATGGTATTAATTTACAAGGAGCAGCGAAACTTAGCCGCAAAGGAAAATATTTTGTGGCTGATTAATGTACTGATACTTCGGAAAAATGAAGCTGTTCTTGCCATATTTCGAAATGTAACTTTAAAATTTATATCGTGGAAATTTATAATCATTTTTTCAGATTAGTTTATATCTAGATCTACCTCATGACATAATCTAGATTATGTAATGTTTTAACCTATAGGATGGAGAACTGGTGTTATTTACATAATTCCATACGTGATTAAAGGCTTGTAGGTGAAAAAGTATCGATAAGATCACTATTTTAACATATCCTTGGAGGCCTTTGACAAGCAGTGAACGTCATTTGGCTAAAACCAACGAACGATTATAAATATCACAGCTATGAATCAAAAGTACTTAACTGAATGTAGAATACTTATCTTGTTCGTTTATCAACATTTTACTGGTAACTGAAGAAAGGTTTTCTTAATTAAAATTGATTGGAATCTAAATCAAGAGACGGTTATTTTTATGGTACTTTAACATACATAGTATTCGTGTCCAAATTAAGCCTGCAGTTTAATTACTACAACTTATTACTAGTTATTAGATTGATACTTAAACGGTTAGAACGACAAGACCCTATTGTCGCCATAGTCAACCAAACTACTTTTCGATAGAGTTGTATTATAGATAGGTACATAACTATATCGCTCATGTTATACTAGCTTTCTTCATTATTCCTTTTACGACCTAGAGTGCAAAGTAAAGACAATCCTGTTCACACAAAATGAATCTTATGCCATTGTTTAAAGAGTGAAGATGACACGACATGGAAAATAGAAATATTTCCAGGTATGAAAACAAGGAACTTTGGTTATTTTCTCGGATAATGTAATGTAAACTCGGGTTGAATGCAAATTTTGTCACGTGTTTGCTTTCTAGAAACGTCTTCGGTTTCATACTGAGAGAATAGTGTCCTATTCAAAATATTAAAATTTTGGACTGTATTTTCCGTAGCTTTTCTGGTGATTTATAGTTGGGTTTGGAGATAGTTTTAAGTTACTTTAGTACTAGTCAAATAAGGCAGATTAATCTTTGCTTACATAGATGAGATATTATTAAAATAAATCTTTTTACGTACCGTAAAGCGCAGCGTGAGATGTCCACCCACAAGCTGGACTGATGACTTTGTAAAAGTTGCAGGAAGGTGTTGGATGCGTCAACACCGCAACCTATCTTGAAATCATTGGAGGAATCATCACGTCCACTGCTGAACATAGACCGTTCAGCAGTGGACGTCCTGTGGCTGAAATGATAATTATAATGATCTTTTTACATTAAAGGATGATAGGTATCCACCTACCTTTCGTTTGAACAACTGGATTGATTACTGAACTGAATCATCGGTATTTGGAAGCAAAAACGTATTCTCTCCACAACTCAGTGATAGATTGTTGAATGTAGATACTTAATCCGCATCAGAGCTTAATTAGAATCAACTAACTGCTAGGTATTTACACATTATTATACGCCTCTTCCTACGATTTCACTTCTACCCAATCAATTTTACAGGATTAAATTGAAATACACGTAACATACTTGTGAAGAGAGGTTTTCAAAATTTAGCTATTGGTCGCGACACACCAACGAGATTGGAGTTGAAGTAGCAAGACGATTACCTACAGCGGCTGCTTTGTGGTGCTAGACTAGACGTGTCCTGCGGATTTTACCAGATAAAATAAATAATATTGGTACTTCTTTCAACTTCTGTGGGGTTGTAATAAGTGAAGTTACGAGCCTTAAACATCTCACTTTTCTAACATGATATTTCGATGAATTTTAGTTATAATATTAATTTAATAACCAATTTAATAAACGGACTACACTTCTACTACTGGTACCTTACTCTTTATTTACTTTAAGGTAAAGTCAAAACAGTTTTTAATGAAAAAACCAAACACCAGACTTTTATAATTCTTGCAGCTAATGCTTAATGTAAGAATTTATGCAATCGTAGAAGAAATTATGTAGTCTTCGAAAGCTTAGAAACCTGCTGAAAATATGATATTTAGGCCCCTATATCTCTTTATTTCCAAACTTACAAACAAATTGACTTTTACATTATAATTTCTACGGCAATTACTAATGCTTCTCCAGAGGTACTCGAAAAAATTACCTCCACCTCGAAGTTACGATTAAATCGATTTGCCTGAACCGCGTGTGCCGCCCTAATTTGGTTGATTTTTATTTGCCGAGTATGTAATTATCTTTGTCAATAGAAGGTGTCTTCCTTGTTCGGAGGCTGGCAATATCTAAAAAGCATCGGTTTTGGGCTGTGGCTTCACTGCGAGAGAGTAACGATCAGGCGCTCATTCTTATGTATAATCAGGTTTCAGACCTTGACCTGCTTTTGAGCTTAAGTTAGTTTAGCTTAGCGCGTTTAGCTGACGCAGTTTTCCATAGTTGTATGCAAATTGCAAACTAAACAAACACTGTGGGAAACTGCGTCAGCTATGCGAGCTAAGCAAAAGTAACTATTAACTCTTGGTCTGCAACCCGCAATAAAGTAATCTAGATATTTTTAAATCGTTCGTTCGTCTCAGCCGAAAGACGTCCACTGCTGGACAAAGGCATCCCCCAAGGATTTCCACAAAGACCGTTTTTTACATATTCATATTTAATTTCAGATTGTATAGATCGGCACAGTTGTTTGATAATTTTTACTTCTCTTCTAATTGTTACTCAGGAGCAAAATATTAATTACCTACTAGCTGATGAAGGAACTTAATCAAAATAAAAATAACTCAAAAAGCCATATTGTGCTTGTTTATATCCCCTCAGTAGTGAGTTGTCTCAGTCAGGCCACCGCATTAATCCGGTCGTCGCCTACTTTGATGCGCACAACTTGGATGTTTTCCCCCGTCACCTACTAATGCTCATTTAATTACTTTTCTTGTTACCTAATTGTGTGCAGTGTCCCTTTTCGCCTTGTTTCTTTTTGTCCACTCAATAGCCTATTACTGCACAATGTTTATAGGTATTTGGGGAACTAGGGAAAACTTTCTTTTATTTTAAGGCGCAATTACACTATGCGGAAAAGTGTCAAAGTCGAAGCGCTAGCCTGCACACCGAAGTATAGACGACGCATCACCATCTTCTTCCCCCGAAGGAGAAAGTAATCGAGATGATGTTCACACTATTACGTCTTGGCCAATTTTCCGCATAGTGTACCTGGGCCAAGATGAAAAGGTTTCATCAGGGCTGACACATGAGAAACAGCCTAAAGATGGAATGTGGACGTTTTTTATGACTAGACCTGAGGACCTAGGAGTTTAACGGGACTAATCACTTAATAATTAACTTAAGTCCCAGTCTTGTGATAACAAGAATAATAATCATGCTATCATATCTTCTAACTTAGAGCCAGAACCCTAAACTAATGTCTAACCTGAGATATCCAAACTACTTCATATTCGCGGTCAAACTGCGTGTTATTCCAAAGTTGGCCAAAGTCGGTGATCTTGTCCCAAAGTTCAGACTAAAGTTAAGATTATACATAAATATCGAGTTGAAAAGTTTTTTGGATAAGTATTAGAGGGATTTTATGTTCGTAACTATTCGTTCGTTTCAGCCAAATGACGTCCACTGCTGGACAAAGACCTCCCCCAAGGATTTCTTATTACTTCAATTATATAAATAAACTGAATAGATAATAGCAAATAGGAAATTTTACATCGCTCTTTCGTTTACTTAGTGAACAGAATGTTATGTGAAAATAAAATGTTATTTCATTTTAGAGAAGGTTCAAAGGATTGGAAAGATTGTGTACGTTGGGAAAGAGGATTGTGGATCCAGGTCGACGTGAATGGCTCACTCATAGTTTAATGCGCCTTTACACTATAGGTATTTACGCGACACTTTCAAACGTATTGCCTTGTAAAATGTTCTTATAAAAATAATATTTTCTGCTGGTTTTTTCTTCAATCACAAAATAGTAAGACAACCTATTTAAAAAAAAGGATTTTACTTTCAATCAAAGCACAGATTAACTATTGCATTTGTCACACCACGCCACTTTGACACGACATTTGATACCGACCGTGCCATGTACAATAATAAAAATTTATGATACTTACACAGCTTTTGTATAGTTTATTTTGATAAATATTTTTGTAAGCAACCATGGCGATGGCTGAGAAGAAAAATGAGTACCCACCAAGCGTGGAGGCAGACCGGAGGCTGTTGCCTTTTGAGACTTGGGAGGAGTATTTGGACTCCCTCATAGAAATTGCTGATCTGAGGAATCTAAGGAGTATCGCTTCTGCGAGGACCATCGCTGCACTTGGTTATAGGTAAGTTAGGTTTTGATAGCAAATGAGCCACTTAATCTAAAGCAAAACCTAACATAATAAAAACCTTGTCTCTTTTTGATAGCAAATGAGCCATTTAATCTGGAGAAAAATAATTTAAACCTTGTCTGTACATAAGTTTAAAACAAAGTCGGTCTGACTCTCTGTGCGCTTAAATCTTTTAAAGCGCAACGGATTTTAATTCAAGACCATGGTTTAATGTGGGTATAATGCATAGCACCCGTGTAAAGCCGAGCATAGTGTAGGAGGTTAAGGCAGTGATCGGTTGGTATAAAATCAGATGAAAAGAATCATTTTATCCTCCAAGAAAAATCTTTCAGCTTTCTTCTGAGATACTTAAATCCTACCTCTTTCAGAGCCAATGGCGACACATTGACCGAGAAAGAGTTCTACAAACGTCGCGCTGTGATCCACGAGGTAGTGTTCCCAACAGCACGAGCGTATGTGCTGGTCAGCGAAGGAGCTGATGTGGAAGACCCCTTCAATAGGGAGCTGGCCGTCAGAGAGCGGGCTAATAGAGTTGGGATACTACAGGTGAGGTTATTTTATAAGCCATAGAACACAGGCAGCTTTGAAATCAGGCAGCAAAAGCTCTCAAAGTCGTCTCATGGTCGTAGACTGCCAAATGGATGATGTACGATAAAAGATGACAGATTCTTGCCGGACTTGCTAGCAATCACATAGTATTTCATAGACAAGTCCGAAATGACTAATTGTGAGATCTATCCATAAATCTGATTCTGATTCAAGGTCTAGAAGTCTACGCCTACGCGACTTTTGGATCATAATGATATTGCGTTCAAACTGCCACCTGACTTGTTATGGATCACTCTGCCCAAATCATGCTAGCATGTGAATAGTATCATATAGATGTTGTCTAATGGCTAGGTAGAAACTGTTATTAGGTTTTGTCTTTTGTCATACAATTTTAGAAAATATCTAGTCTAATATTTTGAATCTACAATAAAATGTTTCCTTTATTGAGATGTTTATCAGCTAGAGCAAGTAACTCACTTTTGTTTGTAATATTTTTCGTTGATTTTCTTCTTTCACAGTCAATAATCTTCGTCCGCCACTTCACCAAAGGAGGCTTCGAGATCTCAGGCTACATAGACTACGCACACCGGCTCATCACGGAGAACTGGGCTCCGTTCTTCAAGTCCAACAAGATGCTGTGGCCAAGGGACACAGACCTGGGCTATTACCACTGGCGGCATGGCACTGTTAGGAGCAACATGAGCAGGAATTATAAGGTAAGTGTAGTTTTGGAATACGCTATGGTTACAGTCAGCGTCAAATAATTCGTGACACCTAAAGTGACCAAAAAGTTAATAACACAACCTATTCCAATTGTAACAAAGACGTTTTACGTGTAACGAACTTTTTGGCTAATTTGGTTGCCACGAACTATTTGATGCTGACTGTACTAGAAGGTTTTTAACATGACCAATAGACCCTTACAACGATAAACGACGCGACCAAAAATAGTGACACATTTTATGGAGTTTTTTTTGGTGAATTATTTTTGGGAAAAGTTTACTATCGATAATATCGAAAAACGTAAATAGAAACGCAATATTTGTACAGACAAAAAAGCGCAACAAGTTATACAAAGCAGTATCTTATTAAGTTGTAACAAGTGCTATTTTGCAAACAAAAAATGTAGTCTTATGTCCTATTACATGTAAAAATCTAAACGTATCTGGTAAAATATGATCGAAATCTATATACATATATAAAAGAAAGTCGTGTTAGTTACTCCACTTATAACTCAAGAACGGTTGAACCGATTTAGCTGAAAATTGTCAGGGAGGTAGTTTAGAGCCAGGAGAAGGACATAGGATACTTTTTATCCCGTTCGAAAATAAAAAAAAGTCTGCTTATTTATTGCCATTAAGGCGGAACAAAGTTCGCCGGGTCAGCTAGTGTCCAATAAAAAGCAGTATCACACGGTTCGAAACATGATATTATGCGGGAACAATGCCGATATCGACTGGGTTGAGTTTCTTCGGAATTCCCGAATAGTTTCAGCTTGTCTCGGAGTGTCAGTGACGTCACCGCGATATAGGAAATACTTTGGTGACTTGAAGAATTTATAGGACTTGTAGTGTGTGTGTACCAACCGTTTATCCAGTCAGCAACTTGTTACATATTATTACATAGCATAGGGATAGGTACCAACATCTAAGCATTCTTTTGGAGTTTTATTATTATTTTCATTACTTTATAGATAAACTAAAGTGTTACTTTAGGTTAATATACCCTATCCTATATTAAAATCTTTCTTATCGTTATATTTTTTTAAGAAAAAGAGCTATTTATTTCCTACTGATGATGTCGATAACTCTAAATTTTCAGTTACACATTCCGCATAAGTTAACTGTTAAAAATGTTAATACTACAATTATTTTTATAACATTTTAGCCCGTAATGGACACGGAAAAGGGTTTATTGTTCCAAAACCGGCACGACCACAAAATCATCTGCCCCGACCCCCAACAGGACCCAGGTCAAAACACCTCGAAGCAGAGGATATTTTCACCAAGGTACACCCAAATCGAAATTTACGACCACGTCGTTAGAAGAAAGAGCTAGAAGAAACAAGAAATTTTCTAGAATAGTAAAATTGTATGCATCGATTTGCAAAATCTTGGCTTTGCTATTTTCAATATTAAAAAAAACTGATTACAATTAAAAATAAAACTTTATCCACGCAGAATGTTTGTAATATTATTTGTAAAAATGTAAATTGTTTTTAAGGTTATACAAATAAAAATATGAAATCTATTCAAAAAGCGTGTCTTTTATTTCAAATAATACATTACTTAGTACTTAATTTCTCTCGATAAAAATATTTCGTTATGCTAACACTTCCTTTAAAATAAGAAAAACGATACAATCATTGTACACAATGGTAACTTAATTAAACATAATGATAAATCTTAGATAAATTATTACTTTTAATTAATTGATATTTTTATGTCTAGTATTTAAATGCAAGTTCATAAAGAAATTATTATTTATTTGTTTGACGGTCAGAGAATCTCTCTGTCTCGGTCTCTCTCTGAGATATCTCTCTCGCCTTATTTGGGCCGAAAGTTTAAGTTAAAAAATTATTTCAAATATTACTTGCCAGAATATGTGTGCAAACCACGCGAATCAGCTGTACCTACTAAATGTAAAAATACAAGTATAATATAGAGACGAGCAAAACGGGGAGATTTAGACCACAAAAAATTAAAATCGGGGTAAAATATACCCTAAAGAAAATGATTTTTCCTCGATTGATCCATCCATGAATTTTCCTCACAATATCTAATAATTAACTATTGAGATTTTGTAGAGTTCAGGCGTGTCTTTTTGGCGAATTCTCTTGATGCGCTTTGTACTTCAGCCGTACGGAGAGTGATGCCGAATATGTCTTCGTGGTATCTGTTTTCGTCCTAGAAAAAACATTAACCAAAGTTAATCAATCTGCTGTAAATCAAGTTTAATCCATTAAACTATGTACTAATCATCAAAATATTAACTACTAATTTAATGTCAAGCTTTTAATACTGTTACAAGAACATCGGATATTGCTCTATTTTAATTAATTACGCTGTGTTTTATTCTAATCCAGTCAAAGTTATTAAAGCAACTTACTTATAAGTTTACAGACTGCATATTCAGTCGTGATTCGAATCAAAATTACTAAAAATATCTTCCTACTCAAATCAAAAGAGATCCTTACCATCATCTCCAAAATGAACTCTTCGACTTCTCTATCGGACATGGCCGCATGCTTCTTCACTATTGACTTCAGTTTCTGCTGCACCTCTTCCGCCATTTTGCAGTCTCCACACACGTAGAAGTGGCCGTCTTCGTCTACCAGCATACGGGTGACTTCAGCTCCATTCTCTTCTAGGAGAGTCTGAACGTGTTTCTGGAAGAATAAAGGAGGGTATATTAGTGAAAGATGTTTTGGTATATGGCGCTACATACTGCACTTGCAAAGAAGCATTTTCTACTCAAAGACTTGTGCTAGCAAAATTGAAAAATAGTCTAAGTTCAATCACATTGGCATGCATGGTGGCTAAATCAGGAAAGTATGATGATACTGGCGAATTAAGAACATTTTCGCTCCTATTATGATAATTTCGGAAAATACATGCACAAACTCTGTTCATCAAAAAGTATATGGGGTAAACACATTTCTATAATAAGAATGAATATGAAATTAATAAATTTACCTTATCACTACATGGTTCTCTCGACAAAGCCAACAACACCTTATCAAGGACCCCATCTTCAAGTGCCTTTTGCTTTTCTTCCTTGTACAAGTCCATGCCACTGTTTCTACATCCAAAGAACAGCCACATGGGTGCTGGTTTCTTATTGTCTGGTCTGAGATTCTTGTTCTGTTCTCTTCTGTGGTGCCAGAACCCTCTGAATGGTGCTATGCCAGAGCCAGGACCAACCAGGATGAGAGGAACTGATAAATTTTTGGGCATGTGGAAGTTTGGTGCTCTGAAAAAAAAAGGAGTTTATTTAACATAGATTCATTAATCTTATATTTTTCTAAGATTGTTTTGAGAAAAAAAGTTACCTTCTTGTGAATATGAGAAGTTCCTCTCCAGGTTTTGAGTTTTGTAAATATGTGGAGCACACCCCGTAATGTGTAGGGCCTTCTCCATCTGAAAATTGAAAAATATATTATACCTACTATGTTAGGGCAATCTACAACACATGATTTAGAAATCAGACCCAATTTTTATTCTCTCCAAAAACTTACTTTGTGTTTTATACGTGACAATGGCGACTGTTATATGTATTCTCTTCTGATGTGCCAGAGGGCTTGAGGATATAGAATAAAATCTAGGTTGAAGTGGAGGTAGTAAGGCTGCCAGCAATGAAGCCTGTGGCTGACATGATGGGAACTGTTCTAATACTTCAGCTAGATGAGGAAAGTATAAGTGTCTCCAATCATCATATTTATTGGAATCCTGCAAAAGAAAACTTTGCTTTTATATCCAACAACTATCTTGTAAACTTGTCTTACTACAGACGACTAACAAGCGACATTTTTTGGCTTAAAGCATTGAAGCATTTGAGTCTTTACATTAAAGCAACAAGCTACTTTTACAAACAATGTGTATGATCTTACTGTAGCCAGTTCTTTTAGTTGATTAGCCTCGTTTTGGTCGCTACATCTACTTGCTAGGTATTTCAACACAGTCGTTGACGGAGGTGTTGTTATGTCCAAGAATCTCGTAAAGATATCACTAACTGTGGCAGCTGGAAGTCGTTCGTGTTTCTCCCATGTCTTGAAAGTTCCTGAAGAAAAAAAATATGAAAAGCATAATGATAATAGTTGGTACAAAGTTTTGAAGTGAGAAAAAGTTCACCTTAGATGTGTATCACTATCTTACCTGTTGGAGTAAGAGTTTCTTTCATAAGTTGCAATTGTACTGGTTCATCATATTGGTCCACGTCATTCAGTCTTTCAAATACAGCGTCCACGATTTCTTTCCTATTACAAGCCATTACTCCGACATGATCACCAGGATCATATTTTACTTCATGCTGTGAAATAAAAAAAACAATATTTCAAAATGATTCAGGAACTGCTTTTGAAATATGGTGTCAAATCAAAAAAGCGCTGCTTACTTCAGGCTCCATATCAACAAATATTGTCGCTCGATCAGCCGTGAAGTCACCGAGCATTTTATTTACTTTCACAGTGCATCGTATTAGTTGCTTTCTAAAACCGCATTCAAGAGCTCCTTTCAAAGTCACTGGTTCAGTAGGCTTCCCAAATCTCACCGTCTCCTCCGTCAAAGGCATTGTTCCTAGAGCTCTCTTTGCATCTTTGACCATATCATTTTCATCCAAGCAAAATGATTCACAAGCCACCTATAAAGGAAAAGATAATGAGGTTTTTTCTGAAGACCATCAAAATAAAAAAATGATTTTAGTTAACTTACATGGAAAATATTTGAAGACCAACTTCTAAACTGCTGTTCCTGACCGTACATTTCATCTCCACATGCTATTTCTAGCAATCTTTCTCCACCTAAATCGCCTAATATTTTGTCAACTGTTTTGCCAAAGTTACAAAATTTTGGATACGCACTTGAACCCAGTGCAAACACTGCGAAGCAAACGTTGCTGAGTGGGCCTATTTGTTCTACTGATGATGTACCCCCAATACTACCTGTTATGGAAAAATGGACAAATGTTACAAGTTGCATGACGCATGACGTAAGTGTCCGTTTAAAGTGAAACAAAAAATTATACATACTTTTATTAGACTCTAATCTGGTCAGTTGTCTTTTATATTCGATACTTGGTGTCATCACACTATTTGTTCTCATTAGAGATTTCGGTGTAGGAACTTTGATATTCCTGCAAAATATAACACAAGTTAGAAGTGATATCTTCACTAAGCTCCACTAAAATTACTCTGAGAAGTATACATACGCTGAGTTGGTATCTGCTGTTTGGTCTCCGATATTCTTAGCCTCATTATAAAACATTTGGAATAGATGATCAGCAAAGTCCTGCAAGCAAAATACTTTAATTAAAACTATCGTAATTTGAAAGCAAACGATGGTTATTGGCTGAATCAAACGAAGTCTTACCATTCCATTGGCAGGAGGCTCACCATTTCCAAAAGTTGACGTCACAATCAGAAGTAGCGTCTCATGTTCTATTGAGAACATGTCATAATCTGACATACAATGAACCTGCAATTTGAAAACATTGTAAGTTACTTAACACTGCCATTTAACTAGATTTTATAAGTATGCAAAAGTATTTAATGGGCACGGACATCGACTAGTCTCAAGTTTATTGAGTGGGAGTTTTCACTAACCTGTGCGTTGAACGCGTGTCCGAAAATGGTACCTAGTTCTTTGGCATACTGTTCAGATTTGCCTGTTTCTGTGGCGTAGAGTATAGTAGCCTTGATGCGCTTGGAGAGAGCCCTGCCGAACAGTTTGGAAGTGAACTTGACAGCGCGCGCAATCTGCTTGAAGTGAAACTTTCTGTGTCCGGTCTTGTTGCCGACTGACTTAGTCCACTGGTGAGTCTTCCAGGGAGGTTCCTGCGTGTAAAGTTAGTTAGTCATAATTAAAATTTAAAGTTTGAGATCCTTCACACTAAATATGTAAACATGTGATGGTAGGGCAAACTATATTTAAGGCATGTGTAAGTGTCCAGAAAGGGGCCTACAAGTATGTATTAGTAAATAAATAATTGAAATTGAAATCTATTACTTATGATATTCAGTAACATGTAACATGACATGATAATTAATATTCAACAATTTAAGTGTCAGTTAAAAATAGTACAATATACATCGGTACTTGGATTCGCAATTTAAAAGAGATTGTTGAATAAATATTGTCACTTACCTGATAATCATAGGACGGCCTTATGTAATACAAGGCCATTTCCTGATGGAACACAGACGTGAGCGAGCCCGACATCGGCGGAACGATCCAGACCCAATCCGAGGGGCACCCTCCTCTGAAATAAAAACGCTGATTCATACAAGGCCTACTGCGGAACATATTCGTTTGTGGAGCCCTGCAGTAAAATGCTACAATTTTGTTTTGTAAGTGACTCTACTGAGTAGGAAAAGAATGGATGTTCTTTCTATGTTGTTGTTGTGTTCGTTCGTTCGTTCGTTTCAGCCAAATGACGTCCACTGCTGGACAAAG